GGAAAAGAGCATTGAGAATTTTTATTTTTTTGGACCTTACACAGATACCAAATTGCTCTCAAGCAATCTATCATGTCCATGAGGAAAAAATCGTTTCATTCTGGGGCAGACTTCATTAAAGAAGCAAAGAAAAGTGAAATACATATATTCCCCTTAGCAAGAAGTCTTTTTAGCTGATGCCATTGTCCACCTCCCGAGGCTGTGAAAAGTAAATGAAATACAAAGCAAATTGTCTTAAAGATGAGAACGTAAGAACTATGGGGGAAGGAGGGTACTGTCATTCACTTTTGATGATTTTACGATGACAGCGGATACAATCCCACAGTTGGGGACAGTCCAGTGCCCACATTTGCATTCTAATGGTGACAGACACAGACACAAGAGAGATGGTCACACCCTTTATGTGCACAAAGGAAGTCAATCCTTTGCATAGGATGCTTTTTCTGGTACAAAATGAGCATCTCACTGCCCTTCCTACTAGTCCTCTAATCAATTACAGGAAGAAGGGGGGGTTTGTTTTTTCTTTTGTCCATTTTCTACTAGTTTATTTATAAAATTTGATTACAAATTCGAACAAATTCTTTCCATTTTCCTCATCCCCCACACATCAAATTGTAAAACCCAATGATTAATCCCCAGGCCCCTTGCACATCCACATCCCTCTGCTTCACGAAAAAAATCCACCCTAGATTCACAAAGTAAAAAGTCATAAATCATATAAAGGATTAAAAAGAAAATTTTACTTTTTGGGAAAATACAGGGCAGCCACTTCAGGATCCATATCTGTGAGGTCGTCCAAGTAGACACCATCAGCACCAAGATGTCTGCTGCGTTTATCTAAATTTAGGATAAATGGATCAAGTCAGAAAACCACACTTCTAGAAGCAAACAGCATTCTGAGTAGATGGCTCAAACCCAACTCTCCTTGCCACTGAACCAGAGCTGCTTCAAGGCTTATTACTCTCTGGTAGGTTTTTGAAAAGTTGTAAATCACAAAGGAGGAGACTGTCCATCTTTCTTCTGTGGAGCTGCTAGTGGAATCGAACTGGCCACCTTTAGGTAAGCAGTGCAATTCTCTGTTGCTATGTCACGAAGGCTGCCTCCTGAGTAGGTCTTTGAAACAGCACTGAAAGTGCCAATATGATTATTTGCTCATGAACACTCAAATCGGTCCAGAATCTCAGTCTGTAGAAGTTGGTGTGCAGCTTGACAGTAGTTAAACTGTCTAGGTTTACACTCTATCTGCATCACTCACTAACATGTGACTTTGATCAAGTGGCTTACTTGACTGAGGTACAGTTCCCTCTCAAAAGTCCCTAAAAATATACCAAGCACTGAATATATTGGAAACATACCGTTATTATCATTATCATTTAATTATAAAAGACCATTTAACACTGCCTTACCAACATTTCAAGAACAGGACCTGATATTGTACACTGTAAGTCATCCATAAATACCATGATTTCATTTTTTTCCCCTCATTTTTTTCCTTTTTTTATTTGAGTGAAAGATAACAAATCATACTGGTATTTTATTGAATCTTTCATAGGCATTTTGTTTTCTAACACTAAAAAAAATTATTATAATGCCTTCTCACACTCTTACTGGCTATTGCCTTTCCCTTCACCCAATTTGCCCGTTTATTCCCTTTCACTCCCCGCTCCCTCCCTTCCCATCCCTGGGAATCCTCCAAGAGGGAGTCGATCTGTGGAATACCCAGATTTCAGACTTCCTTTTTACTTCTGGCAGTGCACTATGTCATTAGCTCCTCCAAATCCAAAAAGCTGTACAAAGCTACCAGGCTTGATATTATCATCACTCCTGGCATTCAATCAGTTCAGTAAACTAGTAACATTCATGGAGCGCTGCTATATGCCAACCACTGGTTCTAAGCACCAGGCACGAAGGGAAATCTGACAGAAGACACTCTTGCTACATGGAGCATATCCACTAGAGGGCGTCAGGGGGCAACACATAAGTGACCCTCTGAAATAAGGCAAAGGGGATGAAGAAGTGGATTGGATAGTGTGCTAAAGTATGACCGGGGACAAGGGTAGATATTAGCCCAATGATCAACTTTGTATAGTGTACTTTAAAAAAAAATCTTATTTTAATCGTGATTTTAACGAACTAACACACAAGTTAGAATTTCATTCATTGTTGCACATTTTCCCCCTCGCCCTCCCTTCCCCCTCTCCCAGTTCACTTTTTTCCTGTCCTTAACATCCATCCATTTTTGAAAAATTACCTTTCCACCCCCACCCCAGTCCTCTGTGCAATGATCTATCTCTTATTCTGGGCTGTTGTCATACATAAAATGCCTTATATATTCATTTTAGACAGTTCTTTCTTTAATCTGTTGGAACAGATAAAGCTCACCTTTTACGCACTGCTATCCCAGAGGCACGTGGTTCGAATCCACCAGCTGCGCGGTGGGAGAAAAGGTGGGCAATCTCTTCTCGTGTGATTACTAAATGCCTCTGAAAACCCGCTGGAGAGTCAGCTATGAGTCGGTTCCAACCCAACGGTACATAATAACCTAACTGTGTAATGAACAGCACCGTCCATTCAGATGAACTGCAAACTCAAAGGGGAGACTCCCTAGCAACCTGAATCCACCAGCAGCCGTGAGGTAGGAAGATTGACAGTGAACCTTCTCCTGTATGACTTACAGCCTTCAAAAACTCACTAGAGGGTCAGCTCTGACTTGGTTCAGGCAAATGGCACAGAACAACAACAAAAATAATATATGCGAAATTGACTGTGTGAGAAGCAACATTCTGCTCAAGGGCTTTAAGCACATTAGCTCCCCAGGAGCTGTCTTGGTCTGTAAAACGAAGAGGTTTATTTATTACATGATCACTAAGGCCTCGTTAGGTCTGAGTTCCTACAACTAAAATCAATATATTCTACAAAAGAGCACAGAGTGACCATGACAGATGACATGGTCCAGCTTCTATGGTGATTTACTCTGAACCTTGGAAAGAAGAAACTGTAATTTGTGAAGCCCACAACATGCACAGAAAAATGGCTGGGCCTTCTGTACCTTTTTTCCTGGAAGGTGAGTCCATCTTGCCTGCTGCCTGGGTTACACTGGCAGAGGGCTTGTGTTCTTCGCTGGGAGGTGAAAGTGGGGCTGTGGCTCCCAAGGCCTCGGCATCCTCTTCATTCACAAAATGCATTTCAGTCTGAGGTTTGCTTTGATCTAAAAGTGATTGTTCGGGAGGACAGCCGGCCAGTGTTGGGGACTGGTCACTGAAGGTATCTGAAGATTCACTCTGAATAGCCCGGAAGTGCATTTTATCGGAGATTTTTCTACTGACCAGTGGGCTGGACTCTTTGATCTTGTGAAGAGATGACTGAAAGGGGTAGGGAGAGAAAGAGAAAGTCAGAAGCCCAGGCAAAGAGGCAAACTGAGTTAATCAAAAATAAAGTCATAGGTAGTCAAGTGACCCCTTTTGATGATGCCCATCTGTCATTAAGGCTCAGGAATGACCTGCCTAATGATCCATAGCTCGAGATTATGGTCCCAAAGCAAATGAAACCTTCAGAGAAACATCAACCAGAAGATCTCTCTCTCATTCCCACTGAGTCAGAACCAACTCCTCGCTGGCTTCCAGGGAATTCTCAGAGGCTATAAACCACCAGGGAGGAGACTACCCAGCTTTCTCACTAGGAGCTGCTGGTATACTTGAAGCACCAGAGAGGCACCACCTACGGGATAGCAACGCAACTCCCCTCCAACTAGGCCGTCAGAGCTCACTCTCAACTCTTAAAAGAATTCAGTCAGTAAAAGGAGAAAGAGCCAACAAGGAGAAGCAACTAAATGGCCATCAAGAGAACAGGGAATATAGTCAAACAATGCTATACTATATAGCAATGAGAAGCAACAGTGAACAGTACTGTAGACAATATGGATGAATATTCCACAAGCAGTTCTTACATTAGTGAAGGCTAGGTGGATTCCTGTGTGGGGTGAACTATTTAAGCTGCAGCGGGGAAAGGTGAATCTTCTGAGTTGCTGGTTACATCTCACCTCTTGATCAGGGTGTATGTTGCATAGATGCGCTCACAATGTGACATTGTACGCTCTTATGTCCCACTGAGTTGACTACGACTCATAGTGACCCTAGGAGCAATGGCTCTGAACCCGGCTCTGTCCTGAGCCCACCTCATCGCCTCTGACATGACACACCTTCCCCCACTGCCACAGTCAATGTGTCGATGAATATATGCTTGCTGGTGTATTTCAACATTTTCCCTAAAAACGTGACTGGATAAGTGAAGATTTGGTGACTGGTTCACAAGAGTATGGAAAACTAGCATTTCGGTTTCTACTCTTTATGATGAGGAAGAAAGATGGGCAATAACCTCCTGTGCAATTTAGTGCCTCTCAAAATCCCCTGGAGAGTCAGTTATGAATCTGTTCCAGTTCGGTAACATATAACAACAAGTTTTTGTTATAAAGATCTTCAAGAAAAATTGATGCTTTTGAGCTGTGATGCTGAAGAAGAGTATTGAACATACCATGGACCACCAGGAGAACAAATAGGTCTGTCTTGGAGAGGGTCAAACCATGTTTCTCCTTGGAGACTAGGATTTTGGGATTTTGATGCTCCCTCTCATATACTTTTGGGCATGTTGCCAGAGGAACCAGTCCTTGGTGAAGGGCATCATGCTTGGAAGGATGGAGGGACAATGCAGGAGTGGAAGACCCCTGATGAGATGGATTGACACAATAACTGGGAAGATGGGAATAGATGTGTCAGAGTGAGACTGGCTCAGGACAGGGCAGGGTTCAGAGCTGCTATACGTAGGGTTGCTGTGAGTCACAGGCAATTCAATGCACATAACAACAACAACATTTCTTTAAATCAATTAAATTTATGGGTTAGAAAGTAAGAAGATATTTACTTGTATGTCAGACCCTAATGCTACAGTACATCTGAGGTTATAATTCCTTTTCCAGAAAAACTAATGGGCTTGTACTTTCATCCTGTTTCTCCAGCAGCTAATGACATAAATTTATAAAGACGGTTGGCTGGGTCAGGACTATAACTTGTGGGCACAGAAATCTGCATTTTCTGTAAAACTAAACAGAACTAATAAAGGGAGTGAATTTACAGCATAGGCTTGAACCAATCTGTTCTCTAAAAAGCTGCCTATCTTGATTTTGAGTAAACGTATTTCCAATCTTCATTCACTAATTCATTCATTCATATTACAAACATTTATCAGGAATGCAGAAACACTTTTTAAGGACTATACACACAATACGGAAACCCCTCCCTACCTTGTAATAGTGTAATTCAAGATCCTTACATATATTAAAATATGAAATGAAAGAAAAATTTCTCGAAAGAAAAACGACAATTTTGTACTTTTTAGAAAACCACCTGTGGTACCGACTACTTGGAGGCCCCTCACTCAATTTCACAGGTAAGGAAGCTGAAGCTCACAAGTAAAAGGGCTTACGTAGGACAGACAAGGGAGTATGCATCAGAGTCAAGGAAAAGGAAGGCAAATAGTGTCTAATATGAGTCAGAGGGAGCTCTGGAGTCCTGCCTGCCGAGGAGGTGCAGTGTGAACCCGAAGGCCTCTCTGCGGTGGTGAGCATCCACCATCAGCCCCACAGGAGAAAGATGGACACTCTCCTCCCACTCACTTGACAGCCTCTGAAAACCCACTGGTTGGTCAGCTGTAAGTCGCCTCCAGTGCGGCGGCAATGAGTCGAGTGCTGTGTAACATGCACTGATACTATTTGTTTAGCACATGCTATCTCGGTCAACTGCCCCAACACTCCAAGCACCATCTGTTTTCTCACATTTTCTCAGAGCAGTGAGGACGCTGAGGTTCTGAAAGGTCAAGTTATTTTCTCTCAGCCGTCTTTCGAGCAAGTAGTAGAAGAGCAATGAAAGCCTAGGATTATTAATAATAAGATTGCAAAAATATTTACCACTTGCTCAGTTGAAGCCTTAGCATTTCCTTTTGTTGTCTAAGTGTGACTTTCGTTTCTGCTCTAGTAATCTTCCCCCCCACCACGCCCCACACACAGCCACCTAGATTGTAAGGGACATGACAAACATCATCGCTCAGAACACATTCAGCCTTGATTTCAGTGAGCCCTGCTTCTTGGTCTTTCCTTACATGGCTTCTCACTAGTTATTAACCTGGGAGCCTTTTTTTTTATTTATGTCTCCAATGCACCAGGTTTTATGTCTAAAGTGTAAGGTCTTCATTTGTATTTGGAGCTGATATGAAATATAAATGCTAACACAAGGGTAGTGTAAAGGCAATTCAGTTAAAGTATACAAATGCCATGAAGCCTCTTTATAAAGCAACGTTGGGAGTTCACAAAAAAAGTAATTCTTGCGCTCAAGGTAAACATTCGTATTTTCTCTTTTTCTACATTCCTTGGTGATGGCATGATAACGGTCGGATATATTGTAGCTGAATTATAATAGAAATCCACAGTGCGGGGTAGAAATGAGGGGAGTGGGGCAAGCTGGGGTAACGGAACTAACCTTTGCAGCTTGTGGCAATTCTCCCCAAAGCCAGAGCATTTCTGGGTTATTCTTCTGCATTGTTCTATCTGCAGACTTACTGACGAGCTCCGAGTCACTTTTCGGCGTTGAAGGTCGGGAACCTGAAGGACTTAAGAAATACAAATGCTTGACTGAGAATGGAAAAAGAAACGTGTTTGTTTTTTTTTTTTTTAAATGTTTGGGGCCCAGATCCAAATAACTCGGAAAATTAACCCAAGCTGTTGTCCCCTTTTAAATCTGATTATATTAAATACCCCTCCGGGATCATCAAAGACCCACACAGAACATATGTCCAAGTGAAATGTGCCCCTGATTTGGGTAACCTCGCCTCAACCTGCTGCAAAATTCAAAGTAAATAGAGAAGATGAGGAAAAGAAGTGACCTTAAGAGGAAAAAGATTTGAAAAGAGCAAGATTATGAAAATATAAAGGATTAAGGGATTTGGGGTATTTTTTTTTAACTTCAAAATTACCATCCATCCCATTCTCATCTCAGACTCACTTGCCCTGAATTCTCCATTTTCAAAAAAGTCTCTCAACTTCCTAACAGCTGCAGAAGGATCCTTGGTCACCTTGGACAAATATCCATTACAATCTATGTCAAAAAGTGTTTATAAATCTATACTGGCTCTGAAAACAAGGACACTATAATTTTCCAGCTTCACCACAACAGCAGATGCCCAAAATGAGGTCGCTAAGGAGGCAGAGCCTAAAATGAGATTTTATAAGACATCATATCTTCCACAAACATTTCCAAGGACTGTGGTCCAATTTCCGAAGTCTCTTCCTATAATAATTTATCACAATGTTTCTTTCTCAGGCCAATTTTTAAATAATTGTAACTTGTCTTCACCCATATGCTTTCTATATTTTTGCTCTTAAGACCTGAACTAAAGGGAGCTCTGGTGGCCTAGTGGCAGGAAGCTGCACTGCAATCTCAGAGGTACATGGTTCAAATCCACCAGATGCTCTGCTGGAGAAGGACGGGCAATCTCCACCTGTAACAGTCAGATCCGATTTGACGGTTGTTGTTGTGAAGGAGTTGCAGGCAACTCATAGCGACCCTATGAAGGAGAGTCCTCGACGCTTGGGTGTCTCTCATCCTCTCTCCAGGTTCATAGTGTTTCCAGAGGCAAGCTATTACAGAAGTGGATGCCACTCCTCCTTCCAAGCTTGTTTTAATCGGGGAGCTCCACCCCACTCTCTGATTTGACGGTACACACACAAAAATAAAAATTAAAACATAATAAAAAGACCTGAACAAAGTCTTACTTCTGGTCAAAGTAACCAGCCAGCAGTAGCTTTTCTACAGATTCTCACTCTGTGTGTGTGTGTGTGTGTGTGTGTGTGTGTGTGTGTGTTGCTGTTGTTGTTGTGTGCCATCAATTGGACCAACACACAGCTGACCCTCCAGGAGGTTTTCAGAGGCATAAATCACGGGGGAGGAGATTGTCCATCCTTCTTCTGCAAAGTAACTGGTAATTTGAATCCTATGCCTTTAGGATTGCAGTGCAGCTTCTTATAATTGGGCAACCACATAGATAGACAGACAGACAGATTCCTTTAGTTATTTCTCGGTTTTGTCCTCCTGCATCATTGTTTCTCGAGTTATTAAGATGGCAGGTTTCAAACAGAGCAGTGTCCTTTTGCACTTTTTCAAAATCTTTCTGTACTCTCTTAAAGTACATCATTCATGTCCATGATCTCATTTATATGTTCTAGTTAGATGTGAACTCCGATAGACCTGAGTACAACTTCCCAATCAGTACAAGGAGAGTTCACTGCTGATACACATCTTACATCAAAATAGAGGCCCTTCAATAGCTAAATTGGTCCTGACTACTTAGTCAAGCTCGTTGACCAGCAGATGATGTGCTCTCTCCCTCTCCTTTCACACTATATAGACTGCTTTCTTCCTTAGTGAACACTGCCCACCAACTCACCTAAAATGGAATGTTTGCAATGATGCTTGTTGCTCAGTTCTATTTTATGTATTGAGAGAATGATCTTAAGATATTACGCAGTGAGAGCTTACTTAATGGATGCCCCACTCTGTGCCCACGCCCTTACCCACCACCACACCCATTTTTCTGGTCGTTGGGAAGAAAAATGAGAAAGAATACTGAGCATATGACAGATCTGAGAGACAAAATACTCACTACCTTCAAGCCCCCTTATTTCCTCTATTTCTATAATTACATTTTTCTTCAAATGTTCAATGTTTTTCTGGCATTATAATGTCTACGATAAAGGGACTTTAAACTCAACTGTGATCTCCAGAGTCTTCACAGAGAAAGTCCACACAATTGGTTTCCTACCCTCAGCAATGCTACACAAAACCCCAAATTCATGTGCTGTCTTAGTTTACAATACAGAATAACATTTTTATTTTATTGCAAAATTTTTGGAACAATAAATTATCTTATCCACTGCCACTAAATGCCCTTTAGATGAATGTTACCTTGCTCTGGTTTAGGGGTTAAGGTTTTTTTTCTATAAAGGACCAGACAGATAGCAAATCTTTTCCGTTTTGTGGATCATAGGATCTCTGTTGCACAGATCCTATTGGCTCACTGTCGCGCAAAAGCAGCCAAAGGCACTATGTAAACACACTGGCTATGTTCTAATAAAGCCTCACTTACAAAAACTGATAACGGGCCAGATTCAACACAAAAACTGAGGCAACTACCCCAAAGAAGAATGAACATGTGGAAAAAGATTCTCTAGATCCCAGAAACAATAGCCTCCTCATCCTTCCATAACTTCCACAAGCCACAGGTTATCCACAGAAGAAATCACGTTTGACAACAGCCTAGAATAAGGGATCTATCATTGCAAAGAGGACTGGGAGCTGGGGGAGGTAGGTAAATGTGCAACAGTGAATGAATATTTTTTTAAAAGTTAACTGGCGGAGTGAGAGGGTAAAATGTACAATGAATGAAAATCTGCTTCTCTGTAAAGGTTCACTAAAATCACAATTAAAATGAAATTTTATTTTAAAAATATTAAGTTTGTAAATACTTATAAAGAACCAAGTACTATGTGAAAATAGTAAGTTGTAAACCTCACATGTCACATCAAATATGCCACTGCAGTAAATGCTGTCCACTTCGGCTATGGCAGCCCTCTCCAAAGGATTCTGTATACAGAACAGGCACATATCTTATGATGGGTGATTAAGGGAATTCAGACTGATGTGGCTAAGCCGAGTGTGATTTATCAGAACGATGATCACAAAGCTCCCACTGGAAAATATCAGATGTCTCAGAGAAAGGATTGTTCAAAATATGGCTTTGTGACAAAGTCACATTTTTCATAACAAAATAATAACCAAGTTACAGACCTGAGTTTGTAAATAATGTCTTTATTAGCCTTATACTGGAAACCAAACCACATCCACTGCCGTTCATTCAACTCTAACTCACAGCAATGCTTCACCGACTTTTTGAGATGATAAATCTTTACAGGAAGACTGCTCATCTTTTCCCTGAACAGGAGTTGATGTATTTGAACTACTGATCTTTTGGTTAGCAGCACAACATGTAATATGCTACACCACTAAAGCTCCTTAATCTTATATTGCTTTTCACTATTTTCCTCAGTTGCAATTAGGCAAAATAGTTATAAATGCTAACAACTTGGTTTAGCACATTTTTAAAAGGTCTTTCTTCCAAAGACACAATCACAAAGTACATCCTGAGATTTGGTTCTTTAAACATAAATTAAATTATCTCTATAGAAATTATCCTCGCCTCATGTTTTAAAGTTTTATTTTTGGTTTGTTTATTTTTTTGTCTTTTTTTAATTTTATTATTTTTGTGTGCGTGTACCGTCAAATCAGATCTGACTGGTACAGGAGGACAATGTCCCTCCTTCCCCAGCAGAGCATCTGGTGGATTCGAACCGTTCGCCTCTGGGATTGTAGTTGCAGCTCCTTGCCACTAGGCCACCAGAGCTCCCCTATTTGTCTTTTTTTAATTGAAATTTTAATGAAAGTTTATAGAGACTTTGGATTTCCATTCATTCATTGTTGCACATTTTTCTCCCTGCTCACCCACCCCCCAGTTGGAATTGACTCCATGGAAATTGGTTTCCACTAGTTGGCTCCATTTACACATTTTTAATTTAGGATTATCTATAAATGCTTACTTTGAAAGGGACTATATATATCTCCATGTATATTCTTCATAAGTAGTTTGGTTAGTGATAAAATTGATTTGTAAAAGTTAAATCTAAATTTTTACATTATATAAACATAATCATATGTCTTTCTTTCATAAGTAATTGGATTAGTATAATAGTCTCCTAAGAGTTAATTGTAAATTTTTTGTTATTGGATACACCCAAAATGGGGAAGTATAACTCCTCTACCTTTCCGAAGCGTGGAAGTGGGAAGACTGTGGAGGGCATGAACTAGAAAGACCACCCTCGGGAGCCACAGCAGGAAGAGGGGGCGTCCTTTTGCAATCTATCAGGCTACTGGATGCCACGGGATAACATTAAGAGAAAGAAAAATCACAGGTCAATTACATTAAATGAATACTCCTACCAGTGACTAGATTATTTGAACAGTATTATTTGTAAAGAAATTAAAACACTTCGGCATCTCACACAACTGGAGGACTGTATGTTGAGATCATTAGGAAATCAATGTCTGTTTTCTGAACTGCAAAAACAGGAAACCATGAAAAGATCTGTTTCCCTTTACCATTTAAGGCATATGCCCATAAGAGATGGTTTTCCTCTGCTCACATTTAGTACTTAACCAAAGTACTTATTCCAAAGATTTGATCATTTGTTTGGCCAACTGTCTCTTCAAGTTAAATAAATTCTTCCAAGTATAAACATGAACATGTATATCCTAATTTGTAAATTTATCTGACAGTGGTCAAGGCAACATAATCTGAAAGTCATTCTAGATTCCTAAAAACTGTAATATTTAACACTAAAGAGAAATACATTCAGAGTTGTGTGAAAAATTTTTAAATTCTTAAAATGAATGTGTAATCTTTAATTGATATTTCAATTTGTTAGTTTAAAGCATTTCATGTAGTTTTCTTCCCAAAGTATTGTGGGTTTTTTCTTCTCGTTAGAGGTTTGTTTCTCATCAATCTGGGGACAGAATGTATGAGGTTTTAGAAAGGTCTCTGTCTGCACCAATGATAGCCACAACTTAGGTGTGGCTGCTAAGCACGTGAAACATGGCTAGTACAATAGGTATGTTTTACATGTCAAACAGGAGACAGATTTTTAAGACCTCCTATAAAAACAAAAACGTGAAATACAATATATTTTTTAAATTAATTACTTGTTAAAATAATCTTTTAAATGGGTCAAGTAAGCAATCATTAAAATTCATTTCATTGGTTTCTTTTTAACTTTTAAATATGACAATGAAAAATTTGCATTTGCCTTACTGGACGAGGCTGGTCTAGAATGGGCTTCAGTAATAGACTTCATAGGCAAGTCTCCACTCCCACATTGTTTCAGTAACATTCACTGTCACAGCCTTGGCTGCAAAGCAGCCACATGGTATCAATTTTTCTCCAGTCTCGACTACAGCACACACTGATGGCTGCTGTCTCATTAATGAGATGGGCCTTGTCAAGCTAGAACCAGGAGTGGTACTGTGGCAAGACTAGCTTTTGGTATGAAGTCATTAGAGCACACAGAACTTAAGAGGGTCATATACTTTGATTTTAAATCAGATGTAAATCTAAGATTATATAAAAATAATCGAAGAATGTCATTATCATTTAGACCACTGTTTCTTAGTCTTCATTTTTTTTTATCATTGCCCCTTTGCCAAACATTTTAAGGCCTTCTTTCTCCCAAAAGCCTCTCTTCCCAAAGAAACTTTAATGCCATTGATACATTGTTTTATTTATTTATGTACAGTGGCCACTAGACAGTCACAAACCATTGTAGTATATAAAATATATAATGGTTGCTCAAGAACAAATTTGAACCCCATTGGTGAAAATTCTCTGTAGAGAATGCATAATTGAGATCTTCCCTCTTCCCAATTCTCTGTGCACATAAAATATGAAAAATGGCTCAGAAGCACTCAAATATGTCCAATAGATTTCACTAACTTTAAGTCTTTACTATAGCAATTTGCACACTGAACAGCTACAGTTCTCCAAGTTTATAGCCTAACTCTGGTATTCATGCTCAGAGTGCATTTTAGAGAAACAAATGCTCTTGGCTCCAGGAGATGAATTCAAGCATGGGAAGAAGGTGTCATTCTAACTCCTCTGAAAAAACCTCAGCGGTCTCTGAAGCAGTGCCTAAGGCTTTGTTACCTTGTCTCCTCCTGACTAACAACCAACTAGCATAATGCATCTTCAGGGTGATAAGAGCTAGTGTCTACAGATTGAGTACATGTTCGCCTACAGTGCAGACCTGTACTTCCTACAGTACATTGTCTTTTTTCTGGTCCTAATAATTTTCCATTTTCATTCTTTCTTTACTGGGTTCTTAGGCATGCATGCCTCTTAGAAGTGACTTCGAAAGCTCTTCCTACAGGCTTAAGTGAGCAAATACATCTCCACATTCATGCAGCTTACCTTGGGTTTGGGGACCACTCTTTCTCTGAATTAGGGTAAGATGCTGACTGAACGTAAGTGGAGGCTGAGGAAAGGTTTTCCTTAGGAACATCATCTTGGAATAGAGACCTATCATTATGAAGAGTTCTAGGCAGAAAAAAAATTAATTTAAAGAACTATTAGTTACAGATTCATAATATATTTTAATTTTAATTTTTTCTTGAAAATCCCTTAAGTACTTTAAAGATCAATATGATCTATTTTTTAAAATACCAGGCATATCTCCAGTAGTATAGAGAAAAAAGTAAAATATACATATAGTTCAAAGATAGATAGATAGATATAGATAAATATATATATATATATATATTGGGCTAAATTATAAATGTAAAGCTTAACATGCTACCTGCTATTTCCATTGTGAGACTTACAATCACTTTTTTTTTTTACAATCACCTTTCTTATTCAACGCCGGATATATAGATAAAGTTCATGTCTGAAGCTGGGGTATCATAAAACACTTCCCATGTACAGATAAAAACTGCTAAATATTCAAACACAGAGCAGGTACATATCTACATGTTTTACCTAGCAAAATAAATAAATGATTGAAATCAAATGTATCTTAAAATTACAAATATGAAAATATACTTTGTTACAGATATAAACACATGCATTACAAAACAGGACTCATCTAACATCTGCTTCTATTTAACATTCCCTGAACTATCTATCATGAAGTTCTAGAATTAAAAGCCATGCAGGAGAAACAACTCTAATAAACCCAACTATCTGGTTTCTTAGCCTACAAAAAATTAGAATCTGTAGTTAAGGAAGGGGAGCTCTAGTGACAAGAAGTTGTGTTGCAGTCCCCAAGGCAAGCCGTTCAAATCCCAACCAGCTCCAACTCCGCGGGAGTAGGATGGGCCATCTCCTCCCATGCAACTAATTGACTCTGAAACCTACTGGAGGGTCAGTTATGGGTCAGATCAAACTCGATGGCATACAACAACAACAACATTGTTACGTTGCTTTCTTTTTAGTCAGGGGGGGAAAAAACCCATTCTGAATAATGAAAGTTGTTGTCATTATTGTTGTTAAGTGTTGCTGAACAGAGTACAATACATAGCGACCTGATGAATTACAGACCTGAATCCCCTATCCTGAGTCACCCTCATCATCTCTAACACAGCTGAGACCACTGCTGGAGTCACAGTGCCAAGCCATCTCATTAAAGGTCTTCCTCCTCTGCTGACCCTCTCTCTACCTTTCCAAGCAAGATACCCCTTTCCAAGAAATAGCCTCTCCTCGCAAATCCCCAAATATATGAGACAAAGTTTCACTATCCTTGCCTCTAAGGAGTACTCTGGATACACTTTTTTAAAGACATTTTGGGTTTTGGCAGTCCATGGGATATTTAGTGACCTTCTCCAACATCACAAGTCAAAGACATCAATTCTTTTTCTGTCATTCTATTCTTGTTTAGCTTCCCAGGTACATAGCAAGTGACTAAAAGTGTCCTGAATCTGGCACACCTCAGTCTTTAAACTGACAACATTGCTCCTCAGTAATTTGGAGATTACGGAAATAGGGAAGAATATTCATTATGGCACTCTACCACTTCTTTGTTTTAAAAAGATATAAAAAGATCTGTTAAAAATTACACTGAAATACATAAAAGTATGAATATCACTCAGTTACTATTTACAAATGAGTTGCATCTTTTAATTTTTTTTTAAATTTTATTATTTTCTCTGCGTGTGTGTAATGTCAAACTGGATCTGACTGGTACAGAAGGATATGGCCCCTCCTTCTCTGGCAGAGCATCTGGTGGATTCAAACCACATATCTCTGGGATTGCAATGCAGCTTCTTGCCACTAGGCCACCAGAGCTCCCCTTGAGTTACATCTTTTAAAATTGGGGTTTTTCACCAAAATGAGGATACACAGAACAAAATTTCATCACATTGTTAAAAGGTAAGAAAATGGAATAAAATATCCATTAAACATTGCCTATCTTAGTAAAATTTAAAAAGAAAGAAGAGTACTTGGAGAGAAAACTAGTTATGTTCTACTTTCATTATTTTTTCTCAGTGAAGGATCTTTATTTGATGACTTGGCAAAATTCAAAATGAGGAGAAACAACTGTAAACATTCAAAATGAGGAGAAACAGCTGCAAATAGCTGGAACATGGATTGCATGAACAATGAATCTAGGAAAATTGGAAGCTATCAAAAATTAAATTCAAAATCAAAATCCTGGATAGTGAGTTGAGATGGATTGGTATTGGCCATTCTGAATCATACAATCACATAATCTATAATGCCAGGAACAACAAATTGAAGAGGAATGATGTCACACTGACCATGAAAAGAACATTTCAGCATCTATTCTGAAGTACAATGCTGTGAGTGATAGGATAGGATCCCTATGCATACAAGGAAAACCTGTAGATACAACTATCAGTCAAATAAATATATGCACCAACCACTACTTTCATTTTTAAACCTATTTATATGCCAGTCCAACTATCATGTATATAGTATACAAATAAGCATAAATACATCTAAGAACAAGGTTTAATTCTTAAAGTACTAATTTGCTCAGTTCCTATTCACGGATTCTTTTCTGAACTGGTGAAGTCCTATTGGTTTAGTATTATGTTATCTCTTAAAATTACAGATGGCATCAAATCGTTATATGAGATAAAGTGAACATGATTGCAGAATTCAGTATAAAATTCATAACAGAAAAGTAAGAAGTTATGAGGTGAAAACAAAGCTAACAGAAATTAATCTTTCAAAGATTCCCACAATGCTGCGAGAACATAGACACCACTGGCTTTGTGGACATTTACCTACTACTGTCCAGTGGTTCTTTATCCTCGTCAGAGCTCATTTCTATGGGAAACATGTCTTCATCCTCAGACGTGTTGATATTGTCGTCTCTTTTAAGGGTATCCAGTTGAGACTTCCTCCTCCTCTTTCTTCTCTTTTTGACTAAAGAGCCACTTGAAGATGCCTCACTAGGCGGCGACACTTGAGGTGGCATGTTGAGGTCCATGCCCCTCATTCGATCCACTGAGTTCCTTTTCAGCTGGCTTTCCATTAGCGAGGCTCCATCTGACAGGATGGGAGAGGTGGCCAGGTGCATGGGAATCACTTCCTAGAGCACAAGATACATTTTCCAAAAAGAGGTTTTTATTAATTTAACTACATTCATTTGCCTTCCAGAAGTAGGACTATACCAAAATCCCTCTGAGTTAAAGTTAGAAGTCTAAGCATCCCTAGAGGTCCCTGGGTTGAAAATAGTTTGCATTAAACTATAAACTAAGATTGGTGGCTTACAATCACAGAGACACCATGGAATAAAGGTCTGCTCTGGTAGACCTTAACCAAGAAAATCCTACAGAGCAGTTCTACTCTAACACAGAGAGTCGCCATGAACCACAGTTAACTCGATGACAATGACTGGTTCTCCTTTCAGCGTGCCTCAGGCAAGGCAACATTAGGAGTTGTTTCAATCAGCAACTCTGGATTTGGGACTGCCAAATATGATGCAAGGTCAAAAAGTCAGCAACTCATTAAATTTCATTTTGTAACAAATCCTCCATTTATGCAATTCAAGCACAGTGAGGTAATTCTCAGTGATTTCGGGTCACAAAATTTCACTGCATACAGAGGAAAGAGGGGGGAAATGGAATTTGAATCACCAGATCATCCTACAAATTGTCTTCAACTTTATGTCTTTCACCATAGTTAGGAGTAAGCGAAAGAATGTGCATATTTGTCAATATGCATTAAATTAAGACAATTTTAATTTTTTTAGAAGTTGGCTACTAACATCCTTTTCCCCACCACCATTCCATTTCTAAACACGTGCTGCCCCAGGAGCATCCGGTGTGCAACAGGTTGGTATTTAGATATTCTAATCACATATTGAGGGAGCTCTGGTGGCCTAGTGGCAAGAACCTGTGCTGCAATCCTGAAGCCACACAGTTCAAAGCCACCAACTGCTCCGTGTGAGAAAGAAGGGCAATATCCTCCCGAGCAATTAACTGCCTCTGAAAACCCACTGGAGGATCAACTACGGGTTGGTTCTACGGTAGAACTATGGGTTCTATGGTACACAACAACAACAATCACATGTTGGACAGCTTGAAAATGAAAGGATAAGATATACAAAATGTTAATGTTGTTGTTATGTACTGTTGAGTCATAACTGACCCTCTGGTGGGTTTTCAGAGGCAGTAAATCACACAACAGGAGACTGCCCATCTCTCCCTCAGAGCAGCTGACTTGTGTCTTTAGACTGCTGGCAAAGTTCCTTACCATGAGGCCCTACCAAAACTCCCAAAATGTCAATAATGTTTTTTATAATGACTTATTTTTGTTAAAAAGTATAGAACTCATTCTATTGATGAATAACCCATTTAAGAAGCAGAAATAAATAAAACAATACACCAGAGATGGGGTACAAACAAACATACACTTCTGATAGCTTGTTCTACTGTTGTTAGCGGTTGTCAAGCAGATGCTCGCTCATGGTGGCCCCGTGTGTGCGCTCAGCAGCGGCTCCATGGAGCCTTCGAGCTGCAAATTGAACTTTCGAAACAACCCACCAGTCTGTTCTACAAGCACCCCTGGGTGGGTTTAAATTTCCAAACTACTTAAACAACTGTGCCCCCACCCCTAAATGGTTTAGACAGCTTAAAATATACTAAAACACAAAACTGAGGAGTAAAGCTAGAGGCTATCTCACACAACTGATCAATTATACCACGTGGAAATGAAACACAGGCATCAGGTCAAAGTCTCTCTCTCATATTGTCATCAAGTTGGAACTAACTCATAATAGCTTACCCTCCATTCCATTTTCAGAGGCTCTAAATCACAAGAGAAGAGAGTGTTCAACTTTCTCCCAGAGATATTAGTAGCTCAACGCCCTACAGTCCACATTACTAAAACTACTTATGTAGAAAAGTAGGGGGTGGGGGGGGACCCTCAGATTCTACTCTCTCCTCAGCCTAAAAAGAATGAGGAGCAAAAGCCTGTGGAGAACAGCTGGCCTGCCCACGGCTTGTGGAGCCCACAACCTGCATGATCGGAGGATGAAGGGCCAATTCCAGCAGGCTCTAATTTTACCAGGCATAATGAGAGGAAGATGTATGGGACAGAACAGATTCTGGTCTGCAGAGCCTCTGTAAGACAACTCAGGCTGGTTCAATGTACCTTAAAGTCCCAGAATCTCCTCTCCCAATATGCTTCCTCAGCATGGGTGCTAAAATCTGACTACAGACAAGTGGTACATACCAAGTGTCCGTTTGAGGTGGAAAGAGTTTTCTGTCAAAGCACCCGAAGGAGTTAGGTGTTAATTCTCCCACTTTAAGATGCAGATAAATGAAGAAAGGTACAGAAAGGGCAAGCATCCCTGGTATCAGAAGGTAGTGAAAGAAGAAGGAAGGTGCAAGATAAGGGCTCTGCAATTCCTCTCAAGTGCTACATTAATGTTATGTTACACTAAAATGACCATCAGTAGTTTTAGATCTTAGTGCTGTCTTTCCATAAAGGAACTAGTAGAAGGGAATTTCATTAAGGACTGCTTTCAAAGTGGCTTTCAGGTGAACTAAAAGGTAATTTTAAAGTGGTTTGGATATTCTCCAAATAAAGTTTGTCAGGCCATCTGTTAGGAATGGTTCAATCTCTCTTGACACTCAACAACTTGGGAAGGCCAGGACTTCAGAGACTTACATAGAGAGGTTTCTCCTCTGCCTGACTCAAATCCCTAGTGTGGATAGACGGCTGCTTTACACGTTGACAACCTTCCCTTGGCCTGGTGTCAGCACTGCTTCTCCACACACACTTCTGCTGTGTCTCTTGAAGAAGCATGCTCAGACGTACAAACTCAGAAGTAAGCCTGTCCCAGCCTTTCTTACCTGATCATTATCAGCCTCTTGAACAAAAAATGCTTCGCCATTATCTCCCAATTTCATGTGCAAGTCCACAGATTCTCCGTTTATTTCGATGTCAACCTGAAAGAAAATCGTATTTTCAAGAAAACAATAAGCTGTGTTCACAACAACAAGAAACCCCATAGTGATGGTCATTCATATCTATACACACTGTTCTACTCAAATCCTGCTGTTGATAGGTGTCATCAAGTCACCTACAATTCATATCAGCTCTGGGAGGAACAGATCTGATCCTTGCCCTACCCTGCACCACCGTCACCATCTCTGATATACTCAAATTCATAGTTCTCTGATATACTCAAATTCATAGTTAATGCCACTATGTCAGTCCATCTTGTAGAAGGTCTTCCATTTACACTATTCAACTTTGCCAGCATCAAGTCTTTTCCTGACAACATGCCCAAAGTATGTAAGAAGTTTTACCATCCTTGCCTCAATGAAGCACCCTGGTTGCCCTTTCTATAAGACGGATTTGTTTGTTCCTAATACAGCTCAAAATACCTCCCAATTCCAAATTCCAATCAGTTAATCAGTAAGAATGCCTTTCTACGGCCTGGGGCGAGCCATCACGGGCCCCTCTGCGCACGGGCACGGGCAGCGGGCGGCGGGCTGTCTTCGGCCCCCCTGGCATGGGGCGTGGCCCTCAGGGTGAGCTCCTCAGTCCCCAGATTGTGCCATCTGACCCTTGGGTGGGGGAAAAATGCCTAGGGTATCCAGAGAATTTTATCTAGGCTACATTCCACCACCCTCTTCCCCAGTAAATCTGAAAGTAACACTCCCAAAGACCTTTTATTTGGAGCTCACAAGTTTGTGCTCTCTAGTTTTTGCTCCCTTTCCTATAGGTAACCTTAACACTGAGTTTTACTCCAGACCTGATCCTGAACCCAGTGCCAGTGACAAAAAGGAAATACAACTGCCAGCTAAGGAAGCAATGGAGGATGGCATCCCCACTGGACCCACCTGGGAAAACATTTTGCACTACAGAGGGGAGCAAATGTCAGGAAAACATCTTCTAACAGAACAAGAAGGCAAGCAGCTTTAACCCAAGACCACCAGTAAGGTGATAAAGTGTCCTCCCTTTCCCCCTTCACATCTACGCCCCTGTTCAGCATGAAGAAGCCAGAGAGTCTGCATCCAGCTCCCAAATCAATAAGACAGTTGGTTTAATCACCATTGGAATATGCTTACCATTCCCCTGTAGCATCTGGTCCCCGCTGGATCCTTTTCATTTCCTTCACCTGCTCCCCCCTCCAACCAAATTGTACAGCTCTGCAACTGCACCCCTGAAATTTTCATCCCTGCCCATCCTCACCCTTCTGCCCCCACCCCTCACCTCCTTGTACCCCCAATATGTTTTTTTTTAAAAAAAAAGGCAGAACAGAAGTGAAGGAGCATAGAGTCACTGAGCTGGAAGAAAAGAAAGTCAGTGGGAACATACTAGAAGAAAAATCAGAGAAGAGATAGAAGGAAAATGGAGAAAACATTAGAGTCATGTGGGATAACATCAAAAGGAACAACATAGTTGTGATCAGAATTTCAGAACATGAGGAAGACAGAGAAAGTGCCCTGAGAAAATTGTAAAAGAGGTACTAGAAGAGAGGGAAAAAAAAAAAGAATGCCTTTCTAGAAACTCATCTACTTCAGGGGTTCTTGGCTGTGGAGAATAGGCAGTAAAGGACAGAACCCGGATGAAAGGCTCTTCAAAACCACCTGGCCCAGTTCCTCCTTTTCCAGTTAAGGCCCTTTAAGAAAAGCAACTAGCCCGGGTCACACATCTGGTTATGGCACTAACACTGCTATCAAAGTGTTGCTGCAGTCTTTAGAAATTAAAAACTGGGACATTTTATCTGAGGTTGGTTAGAATCTCTAAAATAAGGTAGACTAATAATTTTCACTTGTAAACTAATAATTTTCACTTGAACTTAACTCCAAGAACTGATTGAAATACATTATTTCCAATTCCACATTACGTAAGGGCATGGTACATGCTGTTTATTTTCCATGTACTTTCTTCTTTCAATGTGCAAGATTGCATTCATCAAAAATGGACATGTCAATATTTCTGGCCAACTGGTGAGAATCTACTCTGTGAATGCAAGGCACTTGGTTCAAATCCACCCGCTGCTCTGCAGGAGGAGGAGGGGCAATCTCTGCCCATACTATTATTGACTCTGAAAACCCACTGGAGGGCCAACTACAGGTCAGTTCCGACTCAATGGTACACAGCGATAACACATGTTCTTCTAGAAGCTGGCCACCCTCTGTTATTAAGTTGAATCTATTTCTTCTTCAACATGGGCAGATTCATGATTATCTTAATTAAGCACACAAAAAAGTGAAACGACGTAGCTTATAAAGCTAGGATATAAAAGACAGCCACCTGGTTTCTGCCTGGCTCTCTTTCTCTTGAGATTTTTGCCATTGAAGCCAAGCCACCATGTGATGAAGACAGCCAGGGCATACAGAGCAGCCACCTGGAGGTATTATGACCAACAGTCTTATTGAGATCCTACGGTGGAGGGGAAGACCCAGGATGAGACAGATTGACACAGTAACTGGGGTAACGGGGGTAACTGGGGTAACAGGGGTACGTGTGTCAGAGTCAGTGAGACTGGCCCAGGATAGAGCAGAGTTCAGAGCTATTGTACAGAGTCACTTTGAGTCATAGGCGATTCGATGACACATAACAACAACAGTCAGGTTAGGGACTAGCCCTTTCCAACTGAAAAGTAAAATTCTTTTTCTGAGAGAAGCTCAAGATACAGAAATACAATGATTTCTCTTAAGAGACAAGCAACCCACCAGGCCACTGGACCTTTCGCCCTTACCACTTTCTCTCGGGAGCGCAGTACCCCCATCTTCCCAAAGCGGACGTGGAAAGGAGAGCACTGGAGGTTCCCATTGGGTTGTCGAACCACAATGATATCGATGCATCCAGAAAGTGTGGCAGGATTCAGCCCCTTGTAGAGTTCCTTCACTGTAACAAACACCTGGCCCGCCAACTGCCCGACGTAATTCATGGTTTGAGCCTAGAAAACAGACAAACATAAACTAAATATAAACATCAGATACATAGACACAAATAAATTCATCCAAGACAGGCCTTTGAGTACTAGTAAATATGAACTATTTCAAAAATGTATCTACCTATGTTAAATTCTACTTTCCACCTTAAACCCTTGCTCTTAGTTATTTTTAATTCCCTAGAAGATACAATACTTCTCACCTACCTATTCCCTCCTTCTCCAAACAGCAAGTTCATCAAATCCTCCTTCTGTCCCATGAAGCCTAAGTACAACTGTCGTCAGGACTATTGTCTTAATGACCTGCCTCATTCTGCCACTAACATTTCACACAACTCCAAAGAATCTTGGGAAAAGAGGCTGAATTTTATATGTGTGTGTATGTTTGTGTGCACATGCATGTGTGTACACAATACTGTGACAAACAGAATAAGCATTTAACAATATTGACTGGGAGTAAAGTAACTGTATTTACTTGAATGTTGTTGTTAGGTGCCGTCGAATAGTAGCCAACTCATAGCGACCCTATGAACAGAAGGCTTGAGCACTGTTCATACAGAGAGTGTCCGGAGGCAAGCTATTTCGGATGTGGATGCCACTCCTGCTTCCAGGCTTGTTTTAATCGGGAAGCTCCAGCAAATACTGTCCACCATGAGTGACCATTACCACATTTGGCACATCAGTGTCTCAGTGTTCAGCACCACAGCAACCATGAGTTACCTCTGTACAGCAATGCACAGACCAGTGCTATACCACCAAGAAGAATGTTTGACAGGAAAACAATTTGAACCCGGCCTGAGGGCCACAGATTAAAATCACCCACGTTCGGCTTGGTAGTATAACTTTCTGTCCACTAGGCCAACATAGCTCTCTATGTTGTTGTTATTGTTGTTAGGTGCCGTCGAGTCGCAGCTGACTCATAGCAACCCTGTGAACAAAAGGCCTGAGCACTGGTCACTTATAGAGTTTTTACTTGAAAGGATAAAAAAATACTTTTAACTATTCCACCCTGGTCCTTGCCTGCCTGTTGATTTCTCTCCCACGGCTCCAGGGATCACTGCACTCTGCTGCTGCCCATCCAGACAGACAATCCACTCAGCAGACACCCAGGGCATCGTCTCTATGAGCCAGAGACATCAGATTTTTTAAGAAGTAAAAAGGAGGGTGAGGGGAGATGACCCAGTGCCTTAAAAACCTCATAAGCTCATGCAAGTGTTGAAGTAAACAGGAGTAATTAAAACATCAGTGCTCTATTCTGACATGTACAGATGGTAAGGATTGGCGTCAACAACTGTTTTTTGACCTTTTTTGCTGGGGGAGGAAAGAGGGTCAGGTAAAGGAGAAGAATACAGAATGTATGGCTACTTGTCTCCATGAAAACCCGCCTCCTTTACCATGAGACCAGAAGAACCAGACAACAATCAGCTACCATTATGTTACTAAACACATGCATTTTACTAAACAACTCTACGTTACCATACATATTGATCAAATATTTTATAGAAGAATCCTGATCAGAAGGGGGAAATGCAGGACAGAAATTTAAATTCTCATTTTCTGGAACCACTGGAGCTGAATGAATCACAAAATTACTGTACTGAGAAAAATGCTAATCCTTAAACCAAAAATATCCTTGAAGTCATCTTAATACAAAACATTAATTTAGCTTATCTAATAGAAAGAGCATTATGCTTTATTATGGGATCAATCTCCCTGGCCAACCAATAATGCTAACATTCTTGAGCAAGATCACTAACATCACAAGTAAGTAAAATCTTTTTCCATAATTTTTGACTCATGTACTTATAACTTGTTAGTCAAATTTGTGTCTTCTAGGTTGCAACACCCCCATGATACATCTTCAAGGATATGAACATGTACGGCCAAGCACAATCAACAAGAGTGCATCTAAATTCCAAAACCAATCTCCATAATAGTCTATGTGTTTCCTACTGCCAAAGGGGCCCTTTAGAGTAGTGAGAGAAGATCTTCACCCTGAAACCCACAGCGTCCCTTTTCAGCAGGAAGTAGCTAAGAGAATACGCCATCCCCTTTTCCTTATGAATCAGGGTGAAGTCTCTCTCAAGGAGGGGTGATAGGGAATGGCAAAGGACACACCGACAAAGGAGATTAATCAGAACTGACTTTGACAAGCACTGTGGCAATTGGACAATTAAAAAAGACATTCAGAGGGCGGGGGAAGAAGAACAAACTGGGGAGGAGGGTAGAGAGAATGGTGCAGCAATGAAGGAATGAAAATCCAAAATCCCTGTAAATGTTCATTAAAACTAATAAAATTTAATAAAAAAAAAGTAAGTAAAATCTTGCTGAAGATTATTCAAAGGCAGCTATATATTGACCGGAAACTGCCAAAAATTCTAAAGAAATTCTCAAAATGTCTTAGAACAAGGGGTACCATTGCTTAGAAGAAAGGATATCAGATAGATCTTGGCTGAAAAAAAAGGAAATTCCAGAAAGATTTGTACCTGTGGTTTTTTTAACTATGCAAAAATTTGACTTTGTGAATGATAATAAATCATGGACAAAATTGACAAGAATGGAAATTCCAGGACACTTCATTATGTTTATGGGAAACCTGTACACAAAGAAGCACTTGTTTGAGCAGAACAAGGGGGATACGTCATGGAAAATCTCGAAAGGTAGCGGGGCAGGTTGTAGTTTCTCTTTATACCCATGCAATATATATGCTCAGAAAATCACTCAAGAAGTTGGACTATATTAAGAAGAATGTGGCATCAGAATTGGAGAAAGATTCATAAACAATTTACGTTATGCAGATGAGACAACTTTGGAAAACTGAAATATCAAAGAAGATCAAGACTACTGTGGTGCTGAGGATTTATTGTCCAAAACGGCTTCCCTATCCATTATTATACTTCGCCACGTGGACAAGAGGGAAAATGCAAATAGGGTATGTTAGCCTACTCCACAAAAGGACTGGCTAGTCTAACGAATCCACAAGGGGGATTAGCTAGTCTCACCTTTAAATTGAGTGGAACCAAAAGCAGACTTGGAGAAACCTCACCACCAGTGAAGAAGTAAGAGAATGTAATGCGTCCTTCAGGACCAGAGATTCTTGCGCCAACCAGACTAAGGTCTATGGGAGCAAGAGCCATAACAGCCACAGCAGAGAACCTGAGACCTGACATGAGACAAGAGCGGACCTGAGGAATGCTATGCCACTGACCCAGAGCTAAGAGCCGTTTGCCCAAGTTTGTTGGAGGACTAGGGGAGTTGGGCAGGAAGGATAAACTATGATCCGCAGGACTGAGAGATTTGTGACACTGGCCTAAAGCCACAGGATCAAGGCTGAGGTGCCTGCGAGGGAATTTCGGAAGCTGTCCTGACTGTATTCTGCTACTGACCTGGATTATAACCTTTGACTTCCCCAGTATGGTTCTTTTAGGTCTGTGAGCTATCACAACAGATTTTGGACCAAGTAGAGCCGTAAGATTTGTGTTGGGATGAGTAAAAAGAGTTGTGGGGACACGGACATGCCTGGCCTCACAGGAACTGGCTTTGTGTTGCTAATGTTATTCATAGAGAGCGTTTGCCTTTGTGAAGTTGGTAAAGGTCAGATACAGCCCGTGCTCTTTTTACAACTACAGTCTTCAAAAGGTGTACTACACCTTTTTTATTTTATACTGATTTATTTACAAAGTTTGAATACATTATTTAACACACAAGATCTTTCCCATTTCCTTCACCCCACACACACATCAAATTGTGTAGCCCTATGATTAACACCCAGATTACACCTTAATATCAAGAAAACAAAAATCTTCGCAATGAACCAACTAGCAATGTCATGATGGACAGACACATCATGCTAGACAGAAAATTGGCTGAAATTGTCAGCAATTTAATTTTACTTGGATCCACAATCAACACCCATGGTAGCAGCAGTCAAGAAATCAAAAGATGAGTTGTTGACTTGTATTGAGCAAATCTGCTGTCAAAAATCAATGTTGTGAAAATGGCAATACTACCAAAAGCAATTTACACATTTAATGCAATCCCAATACAAATACCAACCCCATTCTTCAACGAGATGGA